AAAAATTAGCTGGGCATGGTGGGGGGTGTCTGTAATCCCAGCTACTTGGGAAGCTGAGGTGGGAGAATCACTTGAGCCTGGGAGGTGGAGGCTGCAGTGAGCCCAGACTGCACCACTGTACTCTAGCCTGAGTGACAGAGTGAGACTCCATCTCAAAAAAACAAAGGAACAAAACACAAATATTACTTTTTCTTTCAATGCATGTATAGTATCTACTAGGTGTTTGGATATAGCCACTTAATCAATAGAACGGATAAGGTATTGGCCTAGGAGCACCATAAAAAAGAATTACTAAGACGTCAAGGGTGCTGTGAACTAAGAAAGTTTGGGAACCTCAGCTTTATGGTAAAATTTACAAGGAAAAGGAAATCATTTAGAAGAAAATAGTTTCCATTAAATAAATATAAAAACAGAAAATAAAAATGGGAAACTGTGCCTGAATGATGACTAAATTAAGATGTCCAAACAAATATATCCCACAATGTTTTCAGAACAAAAGTTCCCATATTGGTAGGTGGAATTCCTGGGGTTCCTGGACACAGGCATCAAATCGGCAGGGTCCGAACATCCTGAGCTCTCAGGCCCCTGCCCTTGCGGATCCCCCACCACACACACACACAGTTCTCTCCTCCTGGGGGCTCACCTTCCTCCTCCTTCTTCCTTTTGGCTTCTCTGTCCTCGTCCGCACTCTGCTCTTCCAGGACTTCCTGAATGGTCCGTTTCGGGAGCTGCTTCCGAGCTGGGGAGGCAAAGGGCTTGGTGTAGCTGACCTCGCTGGCTTCTGTGCTCCCATCCCAGAGAACTCAGACCCGCTGATGTAGCCCCTGGGAGGCTCTGGGCCCTCTCCCCTTCTCTGCCTGCACACAGCCACTGCCCCAGTGCAGGCCGCACCCTTCAATCCCTGCTGCTTCCTGGCTGTGTGACCTTGAGCAGGTTACTTAATTTCTCTGTGCTTTGCTCTCTCACGACTGCAGAATGGAAATAATCCCCACAAGGAAACAATGATGTAATGCACTCGGCACAGTACCGATTCCAGCAGGTCCCCTGAGCTCCCCACTGCTCCCCTCAGATCTTAACTGCCTCCATGTGTTCCAGACAGCTTCCCTGGAACCTCGGAATTCTGGAAGTGGCAGGGAATAAACTAGCCCCAGGAGAGGCCCTCACCCCATGGTCGGCAGGAGTTGGTGTATCAATACCCCAGCTGCCTCGCATCTCGGGGATCACTCTGGAGCACTGACACCGTCCTCCAGAGAATCCCACAAAACCAAGCTCCAGCTGCCCAGTGTGTAGCAGACCTAACAGCCCATCCCGTGTTGGCTGCTCCCCTGCCCTGAATCACCCTCTGTTCCCTGCACCTCCTAAACAAATCACTTGCATTTGGATCCCTGTTTCAGAGCTTCAGAGCCTGCTTCCAGAAGACTCTAAACTAACTAAACCTAACTAACCCTTGATGAAGAGCTCACACGAAGGCAGTTACACGCAGCTTCACTGTTATATCTCATGGTGGCCATTGCGCCACCTGGTCCCTGGTCTCCCGGCCCCCGGTGGCTCCTTCAACCTTCTATCAGCATGGCAGGCACTGTCTCTCCCTGCTCAAAACCCTTCCATGATTCCACATTCTCTGCTGTATCCAGGATAAAGTCTTTTGATGTCTACCCTGATCCTACCTAATCTCTCTCCATCTGACCTTCTAACCCTTCCCACACCACATACTCCACCTTCTTTGATATCACTGCTAAACTGGGGTGTTTCCAGACACACCCAGTCATGTCACCCCTCCCGGCCTCAGCATGTGCGGTTTGAGACCCAGCTCAATGTCACTCCCTCTAAACACGATCCCCTGACACGCCCCCAGGGCCAACCTCAGCATCCACCCGGAGCTCCCAGCATGCCCTCAGCCACACTGTGACTTCCTTATGGCCGCCTTTCATTCAGGGATGAACCTGCCTCCCCAGCTCACAGCCCTTCCGTGGCTCCCAGGATCTGCAGCACGAAGCCCAGGCTCCTTCGCTGGGCGTGCAAGACCTTTTCAGATCCAGCCCCCACTCGCCTCTCTAGCTCACCTCTCACCACGTGCTATTCTCAAACTTTCCCTGCTCCTCAGATCGCATCCGGTTCTCCAGAAACAAGGAAGTGGACGAGAGGCCCCAAACATGCCGTGCCGTTCCCATCTCGAGGCCTCTGCACGCGCCTTTCTTGTCTGAGAAACGTGTATCTGTCCTTTCTCAACATGGCCAACTCCAATCCATCTTCTAAGACTCGGCTCAGCCATCACCTCCCCTGGGCCGCTTGACTTCTGAGCTCCCAGAGTACCCTGCGTCACCCAGCGTCGTCCGATGGAAAGATCTGGCAAGCCATGTACGTGACCTTAAACTTTCTTGCAGTCACGTTAATAAAAAGCGGGAAAAACCAGGTTGAACTTGGTTTGAAGAATCTATGTTGCTCAACACATCTAAAATAGTATGATTCCAACATTCTTTTCTCATGCTAGGTCTTCAAAATCCAATGAACTCACTGCACATCTCAAGTTGGACACCAAATGTTTCATCGGAAACATGGTCTGTGTAGGTTTCATAAAATGTACAGCTATTCACATACCAAAGCTGTTCCAAAATTACGTGGAAAAAGTGCAAAGTCTTTACTCACTGAATCGCATATTAGTTTTCAAATGTAAATTCAACTGAAAGGATCTAACATGAAAGATTCAGCTCCTCTGTCACACTCACCACACTAAAGCGCTCAGCAGGCCGGACCGGACAGCAAGGGCTCACGCTGCCCTGCGTTACGTGTGGGTCTCTCGCCCTGTTCTTCCCCCACAGCAAACATCCCCATTCCCTCTTAGGACAAAGATGCTGTTCCCCAGGCTGGCTTTCCAGGACCTTCTCACCTCGTTGCTCATCGTCCCCAATCCTGCCCTCTACACACCAGCACACCAGGCCCTGAGCGGCCCCCAGGCCTTCTCAATTTATATGTTCCCTTGCCTAGCATGCTCCCCTCCTCCTTTGCTGGTTGCCTCTTCTTTGTCCTAAAGGGCTCAGTTTGGTGAGCCTCTCTTCCGGAAGTCTCCCTTGAGCCACGGCCCCACCCTAGTGTTCCCACATGAGCTGTGAGGCCTCCGTCTCAGCAGATAATTACAATCACAGTGACCAACAATGACTGAGCCCTGACTGAGGGCTGGGCCCAGTTCTGAGCAGCTTACACGTGCTATCTTCTAACTCAGATATTTCTGTGCGGTAGGTGCTGTCATTATCATCATCTCTACAGATAAAGCAACCTAAGCTCAGAGAAGGTCGGTCATTTGTCCCAGGTCATACAGCCAGTGGATGGTGGACCTGTGCTCTTAACCGCAACACTGAGATCACCACTGTCATAAGGATGACAACCTTGGATGGAAATCCAAGCGGGCAGAAAGGCAGGCGACTGGCCGGTGTGGTGGCTAACGCCTGTAATCCCAGCATTTTGGGAGGCTGAGGTGGGTGGATCACCTGAGGTCAGGAGTTTGAGATCAACCTGGCCAACATAGTGAAACCCCGTCTCTACTAAAAATATAAAAATTAGCCAGGCACGGTGGCACGCTCCTGTAATCCCAGCTACTCAGGAAGTTGAGGCAGGAGAATTGCTTGAACCCAGGAGGCAGAGGTTGCAGTGAGCTGAGATCTCGCCACTGTACTCCAGCCTGGGCAATAGAGCAAGACTACGTCTCAAAAAACAAACAAACAAAAAAAGAAAGGCAAGCGACTGAAGGGGCAGCGGCCCGTGTGTTCTCACCTGTGCGACGCTTCGGGATCCCTGATGGGGAGCTGTCCCTGGGAGAGGTGTCAGAGAGGGAAGCGTTGTTTTCAGGAGATGTGGCAGGACGGGGCGGGGAGACCTGTGAGCAGTCTGGGGCAGGCTTCTGGAAGAGGAAAGAACAGTTCTAGAGTGAGTGGGGGAAAGAGGGACTCCATTTCCCAGAAGTTGAGAGTAGAGGGGACCAAAACCTCCTGTGTTTACCCTCCTCTCTGACCCTATGGTCTCAGCCCTAACTCAGGTCTGGCCTCTTCTCACCTGGGCCATCATCCCGCCCTCCAGTGCAGGATCATGGTCCCATCAAGGACCCCCCATAGCGCTTCTGTTTCCTGCAGTAACAAAATCTTCGATTCTCCTGCCTCAGTCTCCCGAGTAGCTGGGACTACAGGCCTGCACCACCATGCCTGGCTAATTTTTGTATTTTGAGTAGAGACGGGGTTTCACTACGTTGGCCAGCTCTACACAATGGGAAGTCAGGGGAAATGATATACACCTCTTTGTATAGTTTTTTTTGAGACAGGGTCTCACTCTGTCGCCAAGGCTCGAGTGCAGTGGCACGATCTCGGCTCACTGCAATCTCCGCCTCCCAGGTCCAAGGAATTCTCCTGCCTCAGCCTCCCGAGCAGCTAGGATAACAGGTGCATGCCACCACGCCCAGCTAATTTTTGTATTTTTTATAAAGATGGGGTTTCACCATGTTGACCAGGCTGGTCTCGAACTTCTGAGCTCAAACGATCCTCCCGCCTTGGCCTCCAGAGCACTGAAAATACAGGCATGAGCCACCATGCCCAACCTTCTCTCCATATAGATTGGATGTTTGTTCCCTCCAGGCCGCATGTTGCAATCTGGTCTCCAATGTTGGAGGTATGACGTGGTGGGAGGCATTTGGGTCACGTGGGCAGATCCCTCATGAATGGCTCGTACCCTCCTTGTGGGAGGAACTGAGTTCTCCCTCTACTGGTTCACATGAGGGCTGTTGTTTAAAATGCCTCTCTCACCATGTGACACACCTGCTCCTCCTCCACCTTCCACCGTGACTGGAAGCATCTTGAGGCCCAGGAGCAGATGCTGGCATTATACTTCTTGTACAGCCTGCAGGACCGTGGGCCAAAATCAACCTCTTTATAAATTAACTGCTCTCGAGTATTCCTTTATAGCAATACTAAATGGACTAACATGCATTTCTTGGTTCAAATAACATCCACTTAATGTTGAGTGGGTGCCCTCCTCTTCCTGTTGGTGGAATATGGATATTCACAGGGACAAGGGCATCTACAGAGAGCAGACGACAGCACAGAGGAAGCCTGGGCCTCTCACCCTGTGAGACTGTCACATGAATCCCGGACTCTGCACTCATGAGCGAGAAAAATAAGTTTGCGTCTTGCCTGAGCCACTGCTACTGTCTCGGTTTCAATCACTCACCTCTCTTCTTACAGGACCCTGTGCCAGTTATTAAGTGATTTTCTCTCAGCTCCAAACCCATCACTGTCCAGTCTCCCTCGTGATGCCAAGACTGGGACTCCACAAATCTCCTTCTTGCTCTGGCACCACCTCGGCATCAGGCAGTGCCAATGGAGGGAACTAGAGGGCACTGCATGATTGGAGGCATAGCCGGCTTCTCTCCACCTGGGGGCTCAGCTGCTGGATCCCACTGACAGTTTTTTCTAACACTCACGGGGCTTGCCACGTGGTACCTGATCAGAGACACTGGCATCTCCCACCCAGTGCTCCTTTCCTGAAAGATCAGAGCTCTAGGCTCTTGAGGCACCTTCTCTAAGCTCAGAGACCTGCCAGCAGTCCCGCCACAGAGGTGTGAATTTCAGCTCCAAAGCCACAGGGACAGTCGCTGCACCTGGCAGTTGCTACCTCCATGATGCCTTAGAGTTAGTTCTCTCTTTACCCCTTCAGTTACCTATTTAACAACTGCGCACCTAGTGACCATCCTTTAAACTCCCTCTGTTCAAATCACTGGTATGGTTTCTGTTTCCCATTGAGACCCTGATGGAGACAGAGGTCTCAGAGAATTTTTTTTTTTTTTTTTGAGACGGAGTCTCGTCCTGTTGTTCAGGCTGGAGTGCAGTGGCATGATCTCAGCTCACCACAACCTCCGCCTCCGGGTTCAAGCGATTCTCCTGCCTCAGTCTCCTGAGTAGCTGGGACTACAGGCCCGTGCCACCATGCCTGGCTACTTTTTGTATTTTAGTAGAGACGGGGTTTCACTATGTTGGCCAGGCTGCTCTCGAACACCTGACCTCATGATCCACCCGCCTTGGCCTCCCAAAGCGCTGGGATTACAAGCGTGAGCCACCACGCCTGGCCAGGGGTATACTGTAAACACAGCCCAGGACTAAACGATCTCTGCCTCTCTTCTGCCCAAAACTCTTCGTAGCTCCCCAGAAGCCTCAGGGTCAAGTCCAAGCTCCAAAAGAGATCTCTGTCCTAATACCTGGAACTTGGGCATATGTTAGGTTACATGGCAAAGAGTAATTGAGGTTGCTAATCGGTGGACCTTCCGATAGCAGGATTATCCTGGACTATCCAGGTGGGCCTGATACAGGCACAGGGGCCTTCAAAGTGGAAGACGGTGGCAGGAGAGGAAAGTCAGGGGGAGATGTGGCCACAGAAGAAAGGCACAGAAGGAGGCAATGCCACGTGCTTTTTTCTTTTTTGAGACGGAGTCTCGCTGTGTTGCCCAGGCTGGAGTGTAGTGCCGTGATCTTGGCTCACTGCAAGCTCCGCCTCCCAGGTTCACGCCATTCTCCTGCCTCAGCCTCCCGAGTAGCTGGGACTACAGGCGCCTGCCACCACACCCAGATAATTTTTTGTATTTTCGATAGAGATGGGGTTTCACCGTGTTAGCCAGGATGGTCTCTATCTCCTGACCTCGTGATCCGCCCACCTTGGCCTCCCAAAGTGCTGGGGTTACAGGAGTGAGCCACCGCGCCCGGCCACTTGCTTTGAAAGTGGAGAAAGGGGGATCTCTGGTGGCTGCAAAAGGCAATTCCTGGATTCTCCCCTAGAGCCCCCAGAAATGAACGCAGACCTGCTGACACCTTGATTTTAGCCCAGTGCAACCCATTTCAGACTCATGACTCCCAAACCGTAAGACAATAAACTGGCATTGTTTGAAGCCACTGTGTTTGTGGTCAATTGTTACGGCAGCAAATGGGAAGCTAATATAGGTGGTGAGGAAAGTTTCGCTGAGGAAGTGATATCTGAGCAAAGCATGGAAGAAAGCAGGGGACTGAGCCAGGTGTGTATCTGGGAAAGAGAGTTTCAGGCTGGGAAAAGAGGTAGCGGCCCAGAGGTGGAAGTGCACGCGGTGGGTGTGGAGAGCCAGGACGGAGCGAGCTGAGGAAGAGCTGTCGATGAAGCTGCAGATGTGATGGGCAGGGGGAAGTGAGGAGGAGCAGGAGGGGCCTCGTAGGTTTCCACAAGGCCTGGCTTTGGCCTGTGGTGGTAATACCAGGGGGGTTGCACAGGGAGTCACAGGACCTGACCTCACCACTGACAGAATAAGCAGCACTGTGCTTTGGACATCATCCACAAAGCAATGAACAAGCATTAAATGACTTAAACAGGGGAAGAGAGTGATCCAATGTTTTTGGAGAAGTTAAAAAGCCCTCTGACCACAGGAGAGGCTAGATATACTTTTGAGCCCTTATTTTTTTTGTTTTATTTTTGAGGCAAGGTCTTGCGCTGTCACCCAGGCTGGAGTGCAGTGGTATAATCGTAGTTCACTGAAGCCTTGAACTCCTGGGCTCAAGCAATCCTCCTGCCTCAGCCTCTCAAGTAGCCAGCACCACAGGCATGCGCCACCACACCTGGCTAATTTTTAAAACATTTTTTTGTAGAGATGGGGTCTCGCTATGTTGCCCAGCCTGGTCTCGAACTCCTGGCCTCAAGTGATCCTCCCATGATGGCCTCCCAAAGTGTTGGGATTACAGACGTAAGCCATTGCGCTGGGCCTTGAGCCCTTACTTTACATCAGACACTATTCTCAGATCTGTATGTAAATGAACTCATTTCATCTTCCCAGTCACCCTATGAGGAAGGCATTATCAGGAGCTGCACGTTACAGGTGAGGCACCCAAGATGTAACTTGGTGAAGGAGACCACCCGAGGCCCTAGGGCAGGGGCAATTAGGACCAGGCCGTCTGCACCCGACACAACCAGGAAACGCATCCACCTCTCCCGGGCAATTTCTCCAGAATCCTCCTCAACAGCTGCTGCGCTCTGTTCCAAAGGCTAATGGGAATTCGTTTCTTCGGGTAAAAATGAGCAGGCTGATGGGGACCTACCTGGCCTTTAGCAGGGCTAAGGGCTTCATCCTCCTCTTCCCCTTCGCTGCCCAGGACCCGGGCCGCCTTCCTGCCTGGCCTCTTCACTGGAGAGTCACTCTCGGACACTCCATTCCACTCCTTCAGTGCCGCCCTGGAAGGTGGGGAAATGGGGGTGTAAAGGGGCGACTACAGCCGGCAGAGCGGGGTCACTGCTCACAAACACCCTGGTTTCTTTGCTGTTTCCTTTCCTTCCTTTCAAGCATCCAATGAACATTCTCTAGTTGCCTCCTCAGCAAATCTCACCATTTCGTCCATCAATGCATCCATCCACCTGCCCACTCATCCACTCACCCACCCATCACACATCTCTGGAGGCCTCCGGAGTGTCTGTCCTGTGATGGGTGATGCTGAGGAGCAAATGGAGTCCCTGCCTAAGGCTCCATTGGTCTCCAGCATCTATTGGGAAACTTCTTTTTTTTTAAGATGGAGTTTCGCTCAGTCACCCAGGTTGGAGTGCAGTGAGCCGAGATCACGCCATTGTACTCCAGCCTGGGCAAGAGCGAGACTCTGTCTCAAAAAAAAAAAAAAAAAAAGAGTATCGCTTCTTCTACTTAGATGAGACAGCATTAAGATGTGGCCAGTGGCCAGCTTCTCTGCATCATGGAGAATGTCTGGTTGTAGAACGAAGTCAAGACCTGCAGAAACAGACCAACGGACGACTCCGAGGCCCTGGATCCAGCTGTGCCTGCAGCCACTCTTGCTCTTGGACTTCCGGCTGCCTGGCTGAAGAAATCTTTCGGGTCCCAAGACATTTTGCATTAGGTTTGTACACTCGCAACCAAGAGAATCCTGACTGCTAAAGGAAAAAATTCACCATATCCCAGCCCTGTGACGTACTTCGGAGGGGGCTCCGTCTCTCTGCTGCCGTTGGATGCCTCCTTCTCAGGCTTCTTCGCTTTACCCTCTTTCTTGGGGTGGAAGAATGACCTAGAGGAGCATAAAAGGGGATTAAAAAAGGAGAATAACAGCACCAATACCCTGCCTATCTCTGCTGCATTCTATAACTTCTAATACCATTTCCCATCTCAGCACATAACAGAATTTCAAACAAGCCCTTTAACCGAACTGATAAGGAAACTCAGACTCAGACAGAGGAGGCAACACTGTACTTATTTTTCTGCCCTTACTTTTTGCAAGATACGATACATCCCAAGTTTCATTCAACAAATTATCAACTAAGCACTTTTTAACTTTTTTTTTTTTTTGAGACGGAGTCTCGCTCTGTTGCCCAGGCTGGAGTGCAGTGGCCGGATCTCAGCTCACTGCAAGCTCCGCCTCCCGGGTTACAGCAATTTTCCTGCCTCAGTCTCCTGAGTAGCTGGGATTACAGGTGCCCGCCACAACGCCTGGCTAATTTTTTAAATATTTTTGGTAGAGATGGGTTTTCTCCATGTTGGCCAGGCTGGTCTCAAATGCCTGACCTCAAGTGATCTGCCTACCTTGGCCTCCCAAAGTGTTGGGATTACAGGCATGAGCCACCACACCTAGCCTAAAAAAATTTTTTTTTCTAGATGGAGTTTTCACTCTTGTTGCCCAGGCTGGAGTGCAGTGGCGTAATCTTGACTCACTGCAACCTATATCCCCTGGGTTCAAGCAATTCTCCTGCCTCAGCCTCCTGAGTAGCTGGGATTACAGGCAGCCACCACCAAACCTGGCTATTTTTTTTTTTTATTTAGTAGAGATGGGGTATCACCATGTTGGTCAGGCTGGTCTCGAACTTCTGACCTCAGGTGATCCACCTGCCTCCCAAAGTGCTGGGATTACAGGCGTGAGCCACTGTGCCCGGCCTAAGCACTTATTATGTGCCAGGGCCTATTCTGGGCCTGAGGGGTTTGGCGGTGACCTAGACACATGAAGTTCCTGCCTTCAAGCAGCTGACACTCTGGTGAAGGACACAAATAGTAAGCAAACAACTAAATATAAAATGTTGGGGCCGGGCACGGTAGCTCACGCCTGTAATTCCAGCACTTTGGGGAAGCCGAGGTGGGTGGATCATGAGGCCAGGAGATCAAGACCATCCTGGCTAACATGGTGAAACCCCGTCTCTACTAAAAACACAAAAACAAAATTAGCTGGCCGTGGTGGCGGGCGCCTGTGGTCCCAGCTACTTGGGAGGCTGAGGCAGGAGAATGACATGAACCTGGGAGGTGGAGCTTGCAGTGAGCCAAGATCCGCCACTGCACTCCAGCCTGGGCGACAGAGCGAGACTCCGTCTCAAAAAAAATGTTGGAAAGTGTGCAGTGCTCTGAAAAATATAAATAAAGTAAGGCACTTTCCAACTAACCCATTGGAGATTGCCTAAAAGGGGGCTTCTTCCTAAGAACAGAGTGCTGAGAGGAAAATTAGGAACTTTACAGTGGAGAGGTCTGGCCAGCACTCCCCTAATCAAGCGATGAAGGTTAGCTTCACCAGCGATGTCACAGGAACCTTATATGCGCCTGACACCAGCCAGCATCTTTCGGTGGTATCTTTCCAAAAGCCCATAACCCTAGTGTAATTATGAGAATAACACTGCACATACCAACACCGGGGACAGTTCTACAGGATACCTGTTCAGTATTCCCCAAGATTGACAAACGTCGTAAAAAACAAGGAAACTCTGAGAAACTGCCACCCAGAGGAGGCTGAGATGTGATGATTAAATGCAATATGGTACCCTGAATTGAACTCTGGAATAGAAAAGGACATTTAAAACAAAAAAAAAAATCTGGTGAAATCTGAATAATCAAATATAGAGTTCAGTTAAGAGTAATGTACTGACGCTGGTTCCTCAGTGGTGAGAAATGGATCGTAGTAATGTATGATCGTAGTAATGTGCTGTCGGGGGGCTGTCCTACGAACTGAAGGATGTTTAGCAGCGTGCCTGGCTTTTAGCCACCAGATGCCAACTGGCAATGGAAACTGGGCGAGGGTATACAGGACCTGTCTGTACTGTCTTTGCAACTTTCCTGTATCTCTAAAATTATTCCAGAATAAGAAGTTTATTTAATCTTCAAAAAGAAAAAAAGAAAAGGAAAATCATGCAAAAGCAAGAGGACACAAAGCAATCGAAGGTATCATCAGCCCGGGAGAGACAATCCCCAGATTCCTTATCACGGGAGAAAAATGGAACTCAGGATTTGCGTAAACCACTCACTACCTCCCAGGTTTCTGGGACGGATGCCCAGGTCTGGGTCTCTCTACCATCCACTTTCTCCGCCTGGTAACAGCCCCTCCATTTTCCTCTTGGGATGCTTCTTACCCCACGATTTGAGTGTGCTAGCCCTTTTGCTCGTGACCAGGGGTGGACACGTGACTCAGGCTGCATCCCCGTGGCCGGTTCAGGGATAGGTATGTGGCCCGAGCTGGGCCAGTGAAACTGGGCTCTAGCACCCTCTTTCCACGGGGAGGCTAACCAGGGGAGAGCCTGCCTGAGGGGGAGGACAACCTCAAGGACAGCAGAGCTGAACAATGGAGAGAGACAGATTCCCAGGGAGAAAGTTTTGGCAACTGGATGGAACCAAGCCTGAGGCTGTTTACTCCAGCAGGTTTCAATGACAGAAGTCAAGCCACGCCCTTTCTTGTCTTCCTGAAGCCAGACTGCATTAACACGAGGTTTCTCAACCTAGACACTACTGACGTTAGGCCTGATGGTTCTGTGTTTTCCGGGGGCTGTCCTACGAACTGAAGGATGTTTAGCAGCATGCCTGGCTTTTAACCACTAGATGCCAATGGCAAACCCTGTGTCCCTAGGTTGTAACAACCAAAAATATCTCCAGACACTGGCTGGGCGCAGCGGCTCACGCCTGGAATCCTAGCGCTTTGGGAGGCTGAGGCAGGCGGATCACGAGGTCAGGAGTTCCAGACCAGCCTGACCAACATGGTGAAACCCTGCCTCTACTGAAAATACAAAAATTAGCTGGGCGTGGTGGCGCGCACCTGTAATCCCAGCTACTCAGGAGGCTGAGGCAGGAGAATCGCTTGAACCCGGGAAGCGGAGGTTGCAGTGAGCCGAGACTGTGCCACTGCACTCCAGCCTGGGTGACACAGCGAGACTCTATCTCAAAAAAAAAAAAATATCCAGACACTGCCAGATGTTACCTGGGGAGCAAAACTGCTGCTGACTGAGAACCGCTGGGTTGGGTTTCTGTTCCTTGCAACTAAAAAGAGTGGTTCAATACACCGTCTTCCATATCCCACGGCTCATTTTCCTTACTACTTGACTCCTGGAAATTCCAACTCAAAATCTAACGTAAGGATTTTTTTGTTTGGTTTTTTGGGGGTTTTTTGGTACAGATTTACAGAAAGAAACAGAGAACTTGGAGAATGAAAGACTCGGGGCAAGGGAGAGTCCTCACATGATACTTCGCTGCATGTTGGCGCCAGAATTCTCCCTTCCTGTCCAGCACTTTTCTTCGTCTGTCAGCTGCTCCTGGAACAGAAATCCAAACACTTGTTGAGGTGACTGGTTGTGCAGAGATCCAAACACATAAAACCCTTTCTTTAAGGAAAAAAAAAAACCAACAACCTAGAAACATGAATTTTCCCTTTAAGAAGAAACTCCTGTTTTTATGAACCAAAATAATTTGCTAGTGAGACTTACTGGTGAAGAATAAAACTTCCAAATCAGAGATTAAGAGGCCTCCTTTACCGTAAGAAGACTGTTTTTCATCTAATATGAAGAACAGACTGAGGACCTGAAATGGGGTTTTTTTTGAAGTTTACAGGTTAGTGAAAAATTGTTTTAAGGTGATAACATAATTCCCTAAAACAACTGTGGAAGCTTATAAAATTATACCCGCTGGTCTACATAAATTAGCTGTTGGGCAATTTCTAAGTTATGCTGTTATTTCAAGCAAAGGGCAGAACATCACAGGGTGTGTGCTACTGTACTGTGTAAAAAAGAAAGACTATAGGCCAGGCACGGTAGCTCACGCCTGTCATCCCAGCACTTTGGGAGGCCATGGTGGATGGATCACCTGAGGTCAGGAGTTCAAGACCAGCCTGGCTAACATGGCAATACCCTATCTCTACTAAAAATACAAAAATTAGCCAGGCGCAGTGGCGAGCGCCTGTAATCCCAGCTACTCTGGAGGCTGAGGCAGGAGAATCGCTTGAACCCGGAAGGCGAAGGCTGCAGTGAGCCAAGACTGTGCTACTGCACTCCAGTCTGGACAAGAGTGAAACTCCATCTCGAAAAAAAAAAAAAAGAAAAAGAAAAAGAAAAAAAAAGAAAGACTGTAAATGTATCCACATATCTTGTATATACACAGAGCATCTCTGTTGGAAGACAAAAACTGGTGATGCTGTCGCCTGAGGAGGCACAGACATTGGAGGGAGATATTTTTAACACGCATGCTTTTGCAGGCAGAACAATCAGAATCCATTACCCCTTCAAAATATATTTTTAAAAATTAAATACTTTTTTAAAAAGTCTTTTTTTTAATGAAATCAATAACAGTCACTGGGGCTTCCACAGTTTAGAGTAACGCTAATGAAAGGGTTCCCAGGCCGGGCGTGGTAGCTCACGCCTATAATCCCAGCACTTTGGGAGGCCGAGGCGGGTGGATCACTTGAGGTCAGGAGTTCGAGAGCAAGACTCTATCTCAAAAAGAAAAAACAAACAAACAAACAAAAAACAAACTCAGCAACTTCCAAACAAGGTTTCTCAGGGCTAGCTGGGGAGCAGAAGTATGCAATGCTTCAACCAAACAGTTCACAAAAAAGCAGGTTAGGGACTTAGACACCAAAATCCTGAGGGCAAAGGAGAAAACTATTACGACCACTACTGAGCACTCACCTGGCTAGGTACTTTACATTCTCAATTATACCGACTCTCCACAACAACTCTGTTACAGAAACTAAGGCCCAGAGGGGTTTTTAAAGGAACTTAACCTGCATCTCTACTACGTTCCGCCCCAGGTGTCTGCCTGCTCCACAGCTCACCTCTTAACCACCAGACTGAGTTGCAAGGGAAGGAGAAAGAAACAAGCATTTACTGGGAAGCCTGCTCTATGCCTGACATGCTGATCACATTCTCAAATACCCTCAATCCTCAAGTCAGCCCTCCAAGACAGGTGTGATCATCCCCACTTCACAGATGAAGGCACTGAGGACAGGGGGACACAGCTGGGGTTCAGGCAAGGCTTCAAACCCTGGTGTGGCTGGCTCCAAAGCCCATGTTCCTTCCTCCTTACCACAGTACTCAAGGCTGGCTTCTCAACTCCGTGTACTGCTGAGTTGGGGGAAACAAACTGGTTGATGCCTCTGGAGGACCACCTGGCATCTCTATCAGAATGGCAACCTCACTTCTGTGTATTTGGCCCACAGAGACCCTCACAGGTGGACCAAGCAGGTAACAAAGTTACCTGCTGCAGCACCAACTGTAATGAGAAAAGACTGGAAACTGGTGGAATGTCTACCCTTAGGGAACTGGTTCCCTAATTACTGGAATACCATATGGTGGAATATTGTTCAGGGTTACAATGAAATGAATGATAGATAAAAGGTATGGGAATTTTTTTCAGGGGGTGATAAAAATATCCTAAAATCGATCATGGTAATAACTGCACAACTCAGCGCAAAAACTAAAAACCACTGACTTGTACACTTTAGATAGGCAAACTGTATGGTTTGTGAATTATATCTCAATAAAGCGGTTACCAAAATGAAGAAATGACAGGAAAAATATCAAGTGAGGATGAAACAGTACTCAGTGATAAAAAGAAACAGAGCACTGATACAAGCAACAACTTGGGTGGATCTCCAGGGCATTGTGCAGAGTGGAAAAAAGGTCACATCCTAATAACATATGATTCCATTTACATAACACTCTCCAAATGACAAAACTAGAGATGGTGAACACATTTGTGGTTGCCAGGGGCCTGGGGAGTTCTTACGTGGAGAGGGAACTGTTCTATATCACAATTATGATGGAGGTTACACAAATCTATACAAGGGATCAAACTGCACAGGCACACAGATACACAATCACACTCACATACACAAAAACTGGTGAAAATTGAACAGGTCTGTAATCTAGTCAACAGAACTGTACTGATGTCAATTTCCTGGTTTCGATATTGGGACTACATAAGATGTCACCATTAGGGAAAGACGGATATACTATTTTCACAACTTCCTTGAATCTATAATTATTTCAAAATAAAAAGTAAAAACAAGAGGTAAGCTCCACCCCTTTATCAAGCATACATTAGGCCAGACTTCTCCCCATTCAGATGATTCTCTATCTTTTGGGGGCCCTTTACCTAGACCTGGACCTTACCAGCGACCTCTCCCTGCCGTGATCACCTCCCTCCAGTAGGGCCCACTCCTTTCAGGTGATCCTGCTGGCCGCAATTTACCCTCCTCTAGCCCCGCCCCTTTCAGATGGCCCCGCCCCCAGCACGTCC